ACGCAAGAAAACTGCAGACGCAACCACGCGCTCCCAGGGCTAAGTTGGTGGGTTGGGGGCGGTCCACACAGGGTGTTGGACAGTGCGTGGTGTGTTGTCGGTATCGAGTGGGGCGGTGCGTTGGCGTTGGGAGCGTTTTGTTTTGGCTAGGGTTGTGTTCTTGTGGGGTTTGTTTGTGGGTAACATAGGTATTGTCTGGCGCGCCGTTGGTCTAATGGTTAGGATTCGTCCCTCCCACGGACGAGGTCGGGGTTCGATTCCCCGGCGGCGCACGCCTTCCCTTATTTGTCGTGACCGGTCAGCGGTCATCGAAGTCTGTGGATTGTTGCTCGGAGCACCTTTTGTCAATTTTGCTTGATGATCCTCTTGCTCGATGCCGAGGGCCCAGCCGCATTTTCAGCGCTGCGCTGGCCCATACCAGTCTCCCCAGGCCCTCAACAGCCGCGCCATTCAGCCTACAGATGTTACTTTGACGAGCAGGACGCCCAGATCCGAGTGCGATAGTTTGTGCTTGCTACACCGACCCTACAGGGTTGCGTTGGGAAAAGCTCACGGGCAGGGAGGGGTATATGCGTAAATCGCCTCATATCGATATGATTCGGAGCTCCACCAGCTAGCAGCGTACCAACAGTCCAACAACAGAGGGGCTACAGAGACGACCTCGACATCGCGTTGAGCGCCTTCCCGCTCCAAGTTGGAGTGGGTGTGCGTATGGCTCGGTGGGGTGCGTGTTCGAGGGTGACAAGCTCGGGTTGACGGCTGTCGAAGCGCGCGATCAATCGAGTTGTTTGAGGTTTTATGATCTCGTGTGCGTGTTTGTCTGTCTGTCTGTCTGTCTGTCTGTCTGTCTGTGTGTAGCCGGTTAGTTTGGCGCGCGTGTTGGCGGCCTTGCTGTGTTGTTTGCTTTGATGGGTGTGAGCGCGCAGGACAGGCGGTGTTTGATAGAGTATGCGTGGTTGACATGGTTGTTTGTGCGTCGTTTGGTGTGTGTTTTTGTGTGTTTGATCGTGGAATGTGCACCGTTGGTCTAATGGTTAGGATTCATCCCTTCCAAGGATGAGGTCGGGGTTCGATTCCCCGACGGCGCATCTTTTGCCAGCTGTTCTTGCACATCCCCCGTCTTTTGCGCGCTTTTGGGCCGATGCGCGTGCCTCACGGCGTGCGGGCAAGCCCCCTCGACCTCTGGCTCGTGGCGATACTTGTTTTCTCCTGTTCAGCTGCGCCTGAACGCAAGAAAACTGCAGACGCAACCACACGCTCCCAGGGCTAAGTTGGTGGGTTGGGGGCGGTCCACACAGGGTGTTGGACAGTGCGTGGTGTGTTGTCGGTATCGAGTGGGGCGGTGCGTTGGCGTTGGGAGCGTTTTGTTTTGGCTAGGGTTGTGGTTCTTGTGGGGTTTGTTTGTGGGTAACATAGGTATTGTCTGGCGCGCCGTTGGTCTAATGGTTAGGATTCGTCCCTCCCACGGACGAGGTCGGGGTTCGATTCCCCGGCGGCGCACGCCTTCCCTTGTTTGTCGTGACCGGTCAGCGGTCATCGAAGTCTGTGGATTGTTGCTCGGAGCACCTTTTGTCAATTTTGCTTGATGATCCTCTTGCTCGATGCCGAGGGCCCAGCCGCATTTTCAGCGCTGCGCTGGCCCATACCAGTCTCCCCAGGCCCTCAACAGCCGCGCCATTCAGCCTACAGATGTTACTTTGACGAGCAGGACGCCCAGATCCGAGTGCGATAGTTTGTGCTTGCTACACCGACCCTACAGGGTTGCGTTGGGAAAAGCTCACGGGCAGGGAGGGGTATATGCGTAAATCGCCTCATATCGATATGATTCGGAGCTCCACCAGCTAGCAGCGTACCAACAGTCCAACAACAGAGGGGCTACAGAGACGACCTCGACATCGCGTTGAGCGCCTTCCCGCTCCAAGTTGGAGTGGGTGTGCGTATGGCTCGGTGGGGTGCGTGTTCGAGGGTGACAAGCTCGGGTTGACGGCTGTCGAAGCGCGCGATCAATCGAGTTGTTTGAGGTTTTATGATCTCGTGTGCGTGTTTGTCTGTCTGTCTGTCTGTCTGTCTGTCTGTCTGTCTGTCTGTCTGTCTGTCTGTCTGTCTGTCTGTATGTGTGTAGCCGGTTAGTTTGGCGCGCGTGTTGGCGGCCTTGCTGTGTTGTTTGCTTTGATGGGTAGGACAGGCGGTGTTTGATAGAGTATGCGTGGTTGACATGGTTGTTTGTGCGTCGTTTGGTGTGTGTTTTTGTGTGTTTGATCGTGGAATGTGCACCGTTGGTCTAATGGTTAGGATTCATCCCTTCCAAGGATGAGGTCGGGATTCGATTCCCCGACGGCGCATCTTTTGCCAGCTGTTCTTGCACATCCCCCGTCTTTTGCGCGCTTTTGGGCCGATGCGCGTGCCTCACGGCGTGCGGGCAAGCCCCCTCGACCTCTGGCTCGTGGCGATACTTGTTTTCTCCTGTTCAGCTGCGCCTGAACGCAAGAAAACTGCAGACGCAACCACGCGCTCCCAGGGCTAAGTTGGTGGGTTGGGGGCGGTCCACACAGGGTGTTGGACAGTGCGTGGTGTGTTGTCGGTATCGAGTGGGGCGGTGCGTTGGCGTTGGGAGCGTTTTGTTTTGGCTAGGGTTGTGGTTCTTGTGGGGTTTGTTTGTGGGTAACATGGGTATTGTCTGGCGCGCCGTTGGTCTAATGGTTAGGATTCGTCCCTCCCACGGACGAGGTCGGGGTTCGATTCCCCGGCGGCGCACGCCTTCCCTTGTTTGTCGTGACCGATCAGCGGTCATCGAAGTCTGTGGATTGTTGCTCGGAGCACCTTTTGTCAATTTTGCTTGATGATCCTCTTGCTCGATGCCGAGGGCCCAGCCGCATTTTCAGCGCTGCGCTGGCCCATACCAGTCTCCCCAGGCCCTCAACAGCCGCGCCATTCAGCCTACAGATGTTACTTTGACGAGCAGGACGCCCAGATCCGAGTGCGATAGTTTGTGCTTGCTACACCGACCCTACAGGGTTGCGTTGGGAAAAGCTCACGGGCAGGGAGGGGTATATGCGTAAATCGCCTCATATCGATATGATTCGGAGCTCCACCAGCTAGCAGCGTACCAACAGTCCAACAACAGAGGGGCTACAGAGACGACCTCGACATCGCGTTGAGCGCCTTCCCGCTCCAAGTTGGAGTGGGTGTGCGTATGGCTCGGTGGGGTGCGTGTTCGAGGGTGACAAGCTCGGGTTGACGGCTGTCGAAGCGCGCGATCAATCGAGTTGTTTGAGGTTTTATGATCTCGTGTGCGTGTTTGTCTGTCTGTCTGTCTGTCTGTCTGTCTGTCTGTCTGTCTGTCTGTATGTATGTGTGTAGCCGGTTAGTTTGGCGCGCGTGTTGGCGGCCTTGCTGTGTTGTTTGCTTTGATGGGTGTGAGCGCGCAGGACAGGCGGTGTTTGATAGAGTATGCGTGGTTGACATGGTTGTTTGTGCGTCGTTTGGTGTGTGTTTTTGTGTGTTTGATCGTGGAATGTGCACCGTTGGTCTAATGGTTAGGATTCATCCCTTCCAAGGATGAGGTCGGGGTTCGATTCCCCGACGGCGCATCTTTTGCCAGCTGTTCTTGCACATCCCCCGTCTTTTGCGCGCTTTTGGGCCGATGCGCGTGCCTCACGGCGTGCGGGCAAGCCCCCTCGACCTCTGGCTCGTGGCGATACTTGTTTTCTCCTGTTCAGCTGCGCCTGAACGCAAGAAAACTGCAGACGCAACCACGCGCTCCCAGGGCTAAGTTGGTGGGTTGGGGGCGGTCCACACAGGGTGTTGGACAGTGCGTGGTGTGTTGTCGGTATCGAGTGGGGCGGTGCGTTGGCGTTGGGAGCGTTTTGTTTTGGCTAGGGTTGTGTTCTTGTGGGGTTTGTTTGTGGGTAACATGGGTATTGTCTGGCGCGCCGTTGGTCTAATGGTTAGGATTCGTCCCTCCCACGGACGAGGTCGGGGTTCGATTCCCCGGCGGCGCACGCCTTCCCTTGTTTGTCGTGACCGGTCAGCGGTCATCGAAGTCTGTGGATTGTTGCTCGGAGCACCTTTTGTCAATTTTGCTTGATGATCCTCTTGCTCGATGCCGAGGGCCCAGCCGCATTTTCAGCGCTGCGCTGGCCCATACCAGTCTCCCCAGGCCCTCAACAGCCGCGCCATTCAGCCTACAGATGTTACTTTGACGAGCAGGACGCCCAGATCCGAGTGCGATAGTTTGTGCTTGCTACACCGACCCTACAGGGTTGCGTTGGGAAAAGCTCACGGGCAGGGAGGGGTATATGCGTAAATCGCCTCATATCGATATGATTCGGAGCTCCACCAGCTAGCAGCGTACCAACAGTCCAACAACAGAGGGGCTACAGAGACGACCTCGACATCGCGTTGAGCGCCTTCCCGCTCCAAGTTGGAGTGGGTGTGCGTATGGCTCGGTGGGGTGCGTGTTCGAGGGTGACAAGCTCGGGTTGACGGCTGTCGAAGCGCGCGATCAATCGAGTTGTTTGAGGTTTTATGATCTCGTGTGCGTGTTTGTCTGTCTGTCTGTCTGTCTGTCTGTCTGTCTGTCTGTCTGTCTGTCTGTCTGTCTGTCTGTCTGTCTGTCTGTCTGTCTGTCTGTCTGTATGTCTGTATGTGTGTAGCCGGTTAGTTTGGCGCGCGTGTTGGCGGCCTTGCTGTGTTGTTTGCTTTGATGGGTAGGACAGGCGGTGTTTGATAGAGTATGCGTGGTTGACATGGTTGTTTGTGCGTCGTTTGGTGTGTGCTTTTGTGTGTTTGATCGTGGAATGTGCACCGTTGGTCTAATGGTTAGGATTCATCCCTTCCAAGGATGAGGTCGGGGTTCGATTCCCCGACGGCGCATCTTTTGCCAGCTGTTCTTGCACATCCCCCGTCTTTTGCGCGCTTTTGGGCCGATGCGCGCGCCTCACGGCGTGCGGGCAAGCCCCCTCGACCTCTGGCTCGTGGCGATACTTGTTTTCTCCTGTTCAGCTGCGCCTGAACGCAAGAAAACTGCAGACGCAACCACGCGCTCCCAGGGCTAAGTTGGTGGGTTGGGGGCGGCCCGCACATGGTGTTGGACAGTGCGTGGTGTGTTGTCGGTATCGAGTGGGGCGGTGCGTTGGCGTTGGGGAGCGTTTTGTTTTGGCTAGGGTTGTGGTTCTTGTGGGGTTTGTTTGTGGGTAACATGGGTATTGTCTGGCGCGCCGTTGGTCTAATGGTTAGGATTCGTCCCTCCCACGGACGAGGTCGGGGTTCGATTCCCCGGCGGCGCACGCCTTCCCTTGTTTGTCGTGACCGGTCAGCGGTCATCGAAGTCTGTGGATTGTTGCTCGGAGCACCTTTTGTCAATTTTGCTTGATGATCCTCTTGCTCGATGCCGAGGGCCCAGCCGCATTTTCAGCGCTGCGCTGGCCCATACCAGTCTCCCCAGGCCCTCAACAGCCGCGCCATTCAGCCTACAGATGTTACTTTGACGAGCAGGACGCCCAGATCCGAGTGCGATAGTTTGTGCTTGCTACACCGACCCTACAGGGTTGCGTTGGGAAAAGCTCACGGGCAGGGAGGGGTATATGCGTAAATCGCCTCATATCGATATGATTCGGAGCTCCACCAGCTAGCAGCGTACCAACAGTCCAACAACAGAGGGGCTACAGAGACGACCTCGACATCGCGTTGAGCGCCTTCCCGCTCCAAGTTGGAGTGGGTGTGCGTATGGCTCGGTGGGGTGCGTGTTCGAGGGTGACAAGCTCGGGTTGACGGCTGTCGAAGCGCGCGATCAATCGAGTTGTTTGAGGTTTTATGATCTCGTGTGCGTGTTTGTCTGTCTGTCTGTCTGTCTGTCTGTCTGTCTGTCTGTCTGTCTGTCTGTCTGTCTGTATGTGTGTAGCCGGTTAGTTTGGCGCGCGTGTTGGCGGCCTTGCTGTGTTGTTTGCTTTGATGGGTGTGAGCGCGCAGGACAGGCGGTGTTTGATAGAGTATGCGTGGTTGACATGGTTGTTTGTGCGTCGTTTGGTGTGTGTTTTTGTGTGTTTGATCGTGGAATGTGCACCGTTGGTCTAATGGTTAGGATTCATCCCTTCCAAGGATGAGGTCGGGGTTCGATTCCCCGACGGCGCATCTTTTGCCAGCTGTTCTTGCACATCCCCCGTCTTTTGCGCGCTTTTGGGCCGATGCGCGTGCCTCACGGCGTGCGGGCAAGCCCCCTCGACCTCTGGCTCGTGGCGATACTTGTTTTCTCCTGTTCAGCTGCGCCTGAACGCAAGAAAACTGCAGACGCAACCACGCGCTCCCAGGGCTAAGTTGGTGGGTTGGGGGCGGTTCACACAGGGTGTTGGACAGTGCGTGGTGTGTTGTCGGTATCGAGTGGGGCGGTGCGTTGGCGTTGGGAGCGTTTTGTTTTGGCTAGGGTTGTGGTTCTTGTGGGGTTTGTTTGTGGGTAACATGGGTATTGTCTGGCGCGCCGTTGGTCTAATGGTTAGGATTCGTCCCTCCCACGGACGAGGTCGGGGTTCGATTCCCCGGCGGCGCACGCCTTCCCTTGTTTGTCGTGACCGGTCAGCGGTCATCGAAGTCTGTGGATTGTTGCTCGGAGCACCTTTTGTCAATTTTGCTTGATGATCCTCTTGCTCGATGCCGAGGGCCCAGCCGCATTTTCAGCGCTGCGCTGGCCCATACCAGTCTCCCCAGGCCCTCAACAGCCGCGCCATTCAGCCTACAGATGTTACTTTGACGAGCAGGACGCCCAGATCCGAGTGCGATAGTTTGTGCTTGCTACACCGACCCTACAGGGTTGCGTTGGGAAAAGCTCACGGGCAGGGAGGGGTATATGCGTAAATCGCCTCATATCGATATGATTCGGAGCTCCACCAGCTAGCAGCGTACCAACAGTCCAACAACAGAGGGGCTACAGAGACGACCTCGACATCGCGTTGAGCGCCTTCCCGCTCCAAGTTGGAGTGGGTGTGCGTATGGCTCGGTGGGGTGCGTGTTCGAGGGTGACAAGCTCGGGTTGACGGCTGTCGAAGCGCGCGATCAATCGAGTTGTTTGAGGTTTTATGATCTCGTGTGCGTGTTTGTCTGTCTGTCTGTCTGTCTGTCTGTCTGTCTGTCTGTCTGTCTGTATGTGTGTAGCCGGTTAGTTTGGCGCGCGTGTTGGCGGCCTTGCTGTGTTGTTTGCTTTGATGGGTGTGAGCGCGCAGGACAGGCGGTGTTTGATAGAGTATGCGTGGTTGACATGGTTGTTTGTGCGTCGTTTGGTGTGTGTTTTTGTGTGTTTGATCGTGGAATGTGCACCGTTGGTCTAATGGTTAGGATTCATCCCTTCCAAGGATGAGGTCGGGGTTCGATTCCCCGACGGCGCATCTTTTGCCAGCTGTTCTTGCACATCCCCCGTCTTTTGCGCGCTTTTGGGCCGATGCGCGTGCCTCACGGCGTGCGGGCAAGCCCCCTCGACCTCTGGCTCGTGGCGATACTTGTTTTCTCCTGTTCAGCTGCGCCTGAACGCAAGAAAACTGCAGACGCAACCACACGCTCCCAGGGCTAAGTTGGTGGGTTGGGGGCGGTCCACACAGGGTGTTGGACAGTGCGTGGTGTGTTGTCGGTATCGAGTGGGGCGGTGCGTTGGCGTTGGGAGCGTTTTGTTTTGGCTAGGGTTGTGGTTCTTGTGGGGTTTGTTTGTGGGTAACATGGGTATTGTCTGGCGCGCCGTTGGTCTAATGGTTAGGATTCGTCCCTCCCACGGACGAGGTCGGGGTTCGATTCCCCGGCGGCGCACGCCTTCCCTTGTTTGTCGTGACCGGTCAGCGGTCATCGAAGTCTGTGGATTGTTGCTCGGAGCACCTTTTGTCAATTTTGCTTGATGATCCTCTTGCTCGATGCCGAGGGCCCAGCCGCATTTTCAGCGCTGCGCTGGCCCATACCAGTCTCCCCAGGCCCTCAACAGCCGCGCCATTCAGCCTACAGATGTTACTTTGACGAGCAGGACGCCCAGATCCGAGTGCGATAGTTTGTGCTTGCTACACCGACCCTACAGGGTTGCGTTGGGAAAAGCTCACGGGCAGGGAGGGGTATATGCGTAAATCGCCTCATATCGATATGATTCGGAGCTCCACCAGCTAGCAGCGTACCAACAGTCCAACAACAGAGGGGCTACAGAGACGACCTCGACATCGCGTTGAGCGCCTTCCCGCTCCAAGTTGGAGTGGGTGTGCGTATGGCTCGGTGGGGTGCGTGTTCGAGGGTGACAAGCTCGGGTTGACGGCTGTCGAAGCGCGCGATCAATCGAGTTGTTTGAGGTTTTATGATCTCGTGTGCGTGTTTGTCTGTCTGTCTGTCTGTCTGTCTGTCTGTCTGTATGTGTGTAGCCGGTTAGTTTGGCGCGCGTGTTGGCGGCCTTGCTGTGTTGTTTGCTTTGATGGGTGTGAGCGCGCAGGACAGGCGGTGTTTGATAGAGTATGCGTGGTTGACATGGTTGTTTGTGCGTCGTTTGGTGTGTGTTTTTGTGTGTTTGATCGTGGAATGTGCACCGTTGGTCTAATGGTTAGGATTCATCCCTTCCAAGGATGAGGTCGGGGTTCGATTCCCCGACGGCGCATCTTTTGCCAGCTGTTCTTGCACATCCCCCGTCTTTTGCGCGCTTTTGGGCCGATGCGCGTGCCTCACGGCGTGCGGGCAAGCCCCCTCGACCTCTGGCTCGTGGCGATACTTGTTTTCTCCTGTTCAGCTGCGCCTGAACGCAAGAAAACTGCAGACGCAACCACGCGCTCCCAGGGCTAAGTTGGTGGGTTGGGGGCGGTCCACACAGGGTGTTGGACAGTGCGTGGTGTGTTGTCGGTATCGAGTGGGGCGGTGCGTTGGCGTTGGGGAGCGTTTTGTTTTGGCTAGGGTTGTGGTTCTTGTGGGGTTTGTTTGTGGGTAACATGGGTATTGTCTGGCGCGCCGTTGGTCTAATGGTTAGGATTCGTCCCTCCCACGGACGAGGTCGGGGTTCGATTCCCCGGCGGCGCACGCCTTCCCTTGTTTGTCGTGACCGGTCAGCGGTCATCGAAGTCTGTGGATTGTTGCTCGGAGCACCTTTTGTCAATTTTGCTTGATGATCCTCTTGCTCGATGCCGAGGGCCCAGCCGCATTTTCAGCGCTGCGCTGGCCCATACCAGTCTCCCCAGGCCCTCAACAGCCGCGCCATTCAGCCTACAGATGTTACTTTGACGAGCAGGACGCCCAGATCCGAGTGCGATAGTTTGTGCTTGCTACACCGACCCTACAGGGTTGCGTTGGGAAAAGCTCACGGGCAGGGAGGGGTATATGCGTAAATCGCCTCATATCGATATGATTCGGAGCTCCACCAGCTAGCAGCGTACCAACAGTCCAACAACAGAGGGGCTACAGAGACGACCTCGACATCGCGTTGAGCGCCTTCCCGCTCCAAGTTGGAGTGGGTGTGCGTATGGCTCGGTGGGGTGCGTGTTCGAGGGTGACAAGCTCGGGTTGACGGCTGTCGAAGCGCGCGATCAATCGAGTTGTTTGAGGTTTTATGATCTCGTGTGCGTGTTTGTCTGTCTGTCTGTCTGTCTGTCTGTCTGTCTGTCTGTCTGTCTGTCTGTCTGTCTGTCTGTCTGTCTGTCTGTCTGTCTGTCTGTCTGTCTGTCTGTATGTGTGTAGCCGGTTAGTTTGGCGCGCGTGTTGGCGGCCTTGCTGTGTTGTTTGCTTTGATGGGTAGGACAGGCGGTGTTTGATAGAGTATGCGTGGTTGACATGGTTGTTTGTGCGTCGTTTGGTGTGTGTTTTTGTGTGTTTGATCGTGGAATGTGCACCGTTGGTCTAATGGTTAGGATTCATCCCTTCCAAGGATGAGGTCGGGGTTCGATTCCCCGACGGCGCATCTTTTGCCAGCTGTTCTTGCACATCCCCCGTCTTTTGCGCGCTTTTGGGCCGATGCGCGTGCCTCACGGCGTGCGGGCAAGCCCCCTCGACCTCTGGCTCGTGGCGATACTTGTTTTCTCCTGTTCAGCTGCGCCTGAACGCAAGAAAACTGCAGACGCAACCACGCGCTCCCAGGGCTAAGTTGGTGGGTTGGGGGCGGTCCACACAGGGTGTTGGACAGTGCGTGGTGTGTTGTCGGTATCGAGTGGGGCGGTGCGTTGGCGTTGGGGAGCGTTTTGTTTTGGCTAGGGTT